CCCCAAAACCCCAAAACCCCAAAACCCCTTTTTAAGTAGGTTAGATTGAAAAATAATTGGTTGGGTTTAAATAATCATCAATACTTTTGAAACAAAGAAAACTGCTAGCAGAGAAATCTACACCTCCCATTTTGGCTATTAGCCAAAATGGGAGGTTTCAATACTTCTCTTCAGTAAGTATTTTTAATATCAGATTTACTTTTTGTGTAAAAACAGAAGGAAGCTTTAATACAGGAGGATTCCTAGTTAAAATTCCGAGCTTTAAAATTGTTTAAACATCTAAAAACTCCTAAGGGTTTATGTGCTTTTCCTAGAGTTCCATCAGAAAATACTTCGCTGTTACAAAAAGATAAGAAAATCAACTAAATGTAACTCAACCCTTAATAAAAGCTCTTCATTTATATGGAGGGATAAATCTTTCCGCGTTTTCTAGAAGAAACAGTTTAGAGTATCTGATTCATTTAGGACCAATCATTACTAAGATCTATCTCAAGTGTAACAAAGTTGGCAATCATAGAGGAAGAAAGATTTCCATAAGCAATAGTTCCCATTTCTTTTGTCAATCTCATGATTTCCCAATCATATGCAAATAATCAGAAAGAACAAAGATAAGTTACAACAATTAGAAGCGATCAAGAAAAGTGAGCTTACTATGAGACGTTGTAAAAAAATGATATTGCATCTCCATATATCTAAGAGACTAATAGAATGTATGACTGAGACGATCCCCAAGAAAAATAACTGATTGAGAACACATAGCCTCCAAAAATTGTACTGTCCTCTTTCTGTTGCTTGAATAAGCCAAGAATTGGCCTATAGGTTTGGTAACCTATATAAGAAGGGAACACAAGTTATGAGCCATGCATGCCATAGCAACATTGCAAACGAAACCATTAATAAAGTTGACCCTAATGGGAACAACAGATAAGATACCAACACTACAGCTGCATACTTGCTTCTGGAAGGCAATGTCTCAGGGAAATAGTCATCCAACATTGCAAACGCTGAGAGTATGCACCCCGTGATAATTTCTACGACCAAGTGTTGAGGTCTGAGAGCACCGCTGCCTATGCGCAAGGTTAGTTTTGACAGAAGCTCATGAATGAGAGCAAACCTCAGTTGTGGCAGTCCAGACTTCTCTATTAGAGATGTAAATCATTTTAGAGAGATTACTTTGTGCTTTGATGATTCATCAAGAAATTTCAAACTGAGAGAGTGATAATTTCTGTTGAGAGCACTAGCAAGGATATGTGAAAGGCTCAGAGCCAGAAATTGACTCTTTTTAGACCAAGAATCCTTGGTTGGACAATTTGAAGATAGTGATAGATGGAGGAAGTATATTCATTTATCATCGAGTTTTGGAATATGATATACAACAAAAAGAAAAAGATGTTTCTGTTTGAAATTCAACTTTATTGAGAATTAAAGGGGTTTTGGGGTTTTGGGGTTTTGGGG